GGTCCTTCTTGTTTGGCAGGACTCAAACAGTAGTTGTAAATGGTGTTACATCTTATTCGTATTCCACTCCTAGCGGTGTCCCTCAGGGGACTTGCCTGGGACCCTTGCTGTTTATTGTCTACGTTAACGATTTGGTTGAATCTCTCCCAGTCGGTGTCTTCTGCAGCATGTATGCCGATGACTCAAAAATCTATACTATAAATTTTGCAAAAAGTTACAAACAGCCATAGACATCATTGAGAGATGGTCAAGCCCTTGGAAACTTGAAATTTCCGTTTCAAAAGACAGCAATCATGTGTATTGGGAAAAACCATCCCAATGTCACATTCTCCTTGTCTGGGAACCAACTTATGCAAACTCACGAAGTATGGGACCTAGGTATCATTTATGACGATACTTGGCTTTGACAGTTATGTACTGTATTGTATCAAATGCAAATTCGAGGGCTAATTTCATTCTCAAATCAATTAGGACGCGCGACCCTCTTCTCCTAGTTCGGCTTTTTATCCTCTACGTTGGACCTGCACTTGAATACTGTTCGCCTATTTGATCGCCGCATAAAAAGTCGCTAATCAATGAGATTGAAAAAGTCAAAAGAAGTTCTATTAGGTCGGTCCATAATTTTTGAGAACCTTTGGTGTTTTTCGATTTAATTACTTATCTTATTTCTCTGATGTATTTATTCAGCATAGTATACATCACCATTATTACCAACATATAACCAATGCGAGGGTGGGTATTCAGTGTCTCTCTTGTAGAATTTCATAGAGTTCTGATCGAAGAAATATTGGATGTCGATTTTGACTTTATGGTGATTCAAGTGAGATTTCTTCTCCAGAAGGTGATTGAGAGAGGAGAGCGGATAGTCGTTCGTTGACGCAGGATTAGTGCTACAAGGCGGAGCTAAAAGAACTGACCGCCCGAGAGTCTCCAATTTTTTAGGAATTTTCTTAGCAAGGCGGGCTCGAACGACCTCAGAAAAAAATAGATTTTGTCTTCCTTTGCTTTCAAGTTGAAGGCGTTGCCATCAAGCTGTCAACGATTCTTCCCATCACTGACACTGGTATTAGTTGATGCCGGTCTTCAGCGCAAAGGCCCTCCCGTATTGCGCCAACGACTCAGGAAGTTCGAATTCAGAGGGAGTTGGGTTTGTACTGTCAGAACTCCCGAATCGTTTGAGCAAATCTACTGCGGCTCGTGGATTTGTTAGCACATTGCACCCAGTCCACATCACCAATGAGTATTATAGATGGTCATCCGAAGGAACTATAGGAAACCAACAGGAACTTGATGATGTCAGATTGGGTTGAGAACTGATTCGGGACTACAATTTTCCTTCGATCAGAACTCTATGAAAGTCCACAAGAGAGGCACTGAATACCCACCCTCGCATTGGTGATATGTTGTTAATAATAATGATGTATACTATGCTGGATAAGTAGATCAGAGAAATAAGATAAGTAATAAATCGAAAAACACCAAAGGTTCTCAAAAATTGTGGACCGACCTAATACATACTCATGCTTCATTCGAGAAGTGTTAGTTCGCTCTCTTACGAGCAGCTTTGGAAACTCGGGATTGTTCGTGACAATTCAGGTGCACTGTATTCGACTATGGATTACTTTATAAGATGACAACTGGATTTCCTTAAAATTGCGCGACCTGTTCGAAATCCCGCCTTCCATTGGTATATCTAGAGGTCACTCTTACCGTGTGCGGCCATGTAACCTAACACGTCTTCCTTTAATAATTCTTCCTGTACGAGTAGTAAATCTTTGGAACAGTTTAGAATCTGTCTTTTTCAGATGAAAGCACGTTTCTTTGTTCCAGAGTCGTCTTGCATTACACCTTAAAAGCTCTAATTTCGCGCCTAGCAAAAGCCACCAGCTCCAGTAAGGTTGTTCGATAAGTTCATGCTACATTTTTATAGTTAGCTCGAATTCAACTAGCGTTATTTCCTGAACAATACTTTTTCAAGACGAGAAGCGACCGCTCATGTGTTGCTTTGTTTCTGGATCTTTCTCCAAGCCTCTGATTAGCTGTTCACGATTTTCCCCCAATATACCTTGGAAATTGTTCCGGTTATTTATGAAGTTGCCGTTGTACATATCTTCTCTCAGTGGCTTCTATCTTGTGGTTAACTTGTTTTTTCTGTTGTTTTATATGCGTCTTTTGCTTTGCCCCTCCCCCTCCTCCCCTCGACATTCTACCGCTGTGGCATGTGGACTTCAGCAACGTTGGCGGACCTACTACGATGGTATCCGGAGTTCTCATTCACGCCCGTGAGAACTTGCAGTGTTGGCGGCCCACTGCCCTTCTGCGCTGTCCTTCACTCCACTGCCGGCGGCCTCCTCTCCCCCTTCCCCTTTTTTTATTTATACAACTAGCTCACACTACAACTATTTTGAACACTTGTTGATGTTCATTGGATGAGTTCCTTGATGTTCTTTCTATCGGTACTTGAGTTTTATTTTATGCCATCATTGTTTTATATCGTACTATATATATATATATATATACTAGGTTCAAAAATGGGAAGCTTGCCAAAGAACTCAACTTGCATTTCTTCAGGGTGTAGGTTTAGGCGACAGTTATGGTCATCAACTGTACGGAGCACTACCACTGTAGAAAGTGGAGTATGGCAAAACGACAATTCATTCGCAACAAAATGCGGCCGCAGTGGGGCCTTGCTCATCCTTACAAGGCGCGAGGATGATGTACAGGGTCCGCGAGAATTTTGAAGGGCTGCCTCTGGATTGTCGCGGAAATGGATGTTATATTGCTCCATGCGCAGTCCCGGTAGGGTCACTGTAAACGAGCGCCGATCGGTTTGCGCGCTCTAGTGCGACGTGGTTACGGTGGAACCTATGCAACCATACTGGGTGGACGACTTGGAGATGAACTCCTTGTCACCATTTTCAAATAATGAGTTATTAGACCCCTAAACAAACAATGGTCCACACCCAACTTGCTGATTATGACAGAAAAGACACATGCGGTAGAAAAGGCGCATTTTCTTCTACAAGGAAAGTATTGGGGGCTGTCGCAAGTCACGGGGCATTTTGGTGGTAATGCATTTGATCGCTCGAAAGAAGAGACTTCGGGGTACGTGTGCAGTTTTCGTTTTTCTCAAAGTCCCTGCCAACTCCTAGGCTTAGTGCTCGAGTCTCCATGTTGAGGATGCCATTTTGCGATAGCGCTGTACTAGTTGGTGCAGTGATTAGGCCCTTCTCGCTCCCATTGCTGGGCTTCCAGCCAGTAGTTGGACCGTTTCGATGATCAGCCCATGAGGCCAGATGTGCCCCACCGAAAGGAACAGGTCGAAGCAAAATCCCAGATGTGCCCCACCGAAAGGAACATGGTCGAAGCAAAATCATCGGCCAAACCGTTTCCCATCCTCCAAAGCCCGTCTCAAAAAACCACAAATATAGGTTCCATGTACGTGCCTCTATCGTGCGCAAAAGGCCATTTTGGGTGAGGGCTCCATAACTTGGAAGACCTTCCTGGTTAATAGATAAAGCGTAAGGAATTTAGGCGACAAGGAGACTCAATTTGAAGAGGTTAGACATGAACCGACTGAATGGCAGCCGGCGCTAAAAACCATTGCTTGTCTAATCTATTCGGCTCCATCTCCTGACCCACTCAATTTCCTCCTCTACCAATCGACACTTCTTTTCCATTGTCTATTGGTCTACTAAACCGTTGATTGAGATTGCGGCGTAATGGAAGCTGCATTGAGTTATTGCTAGCCCTCGTAAGTACGCCTGCTGAAACTTCGATGCCAAGAAAAAATTTTCACAAATCATTAAACGCGTCTTCGCAATACACATCTTCAAAGTACGCGCACGTAACGATTATTGTCCCACTACTACACTATTGCAGAACAAATTTTTCCGATTTATTGGAGAAAAACAACTGGAACAAATTAACTTCAGAAGTTGCGTAAGAATGTAAAAAAATAAAACAATGCTAGTATACAACTTCAATGATAAAACAAAGTAGTACAATATAAAAGTCGACGACGCTTAATTGCGGATAAAACTATAAAAACAAGACTGCGCAGTGGGTTAAAACGAGGAACAGTGAACATAGTTTAAGCTAATCTAACAGCTGCTTAAATGAGTTAAATGAACTCCAAGCAATGATGAATAGTGGTTTCAAGGCGTATATTACAATTACAAAGAACCAGATTTCTTACAAATGGAATCGAGATTCGCATGAAGCCAATCTAGTGGAATACAAAATAAAAATCACAAATGTAGCACGGCGGTCATTATTTTCGTTCGAGATATCATCAGATGAAACACGAAGTTGAAGACAATAAAAACTACATGCCTACATAAAACAACTACGTTGATAATGTCAATTTTCTTTGACAACATTAGTAGCGTGTATTACCTGTATCACTGCATCATATTAACTAGCAATATGTAGAATAAAGTGAAAACTAAGAAAGAAACTAAGAAACTAGAGATAATGACCTCTTTCGGATACGTATTTCCACTGAAATAAGAAAAGAACCAAAGCAGATGTTTAAATGATCTCCGCAAACTCATTTGTCGTGAAGAAACGTTCCTTTTCAAATCAAAAATTATTACTTGGAAATTTCGTTGACCGCCGGGTTTAAGGAAGAACAGGAAACCGGATCGATGTCGCAATAATAGCATTAATTAAGCCCCTGCACCATATAACGGTGAGCGCGAGACATCCAACAGCTCCTCATTATTCTTGCTTCAATAAATTGCCTGTTTGGATGGCAGTGGCCTTAAATTCCGAAAATTCCACGTTAGAAAGTCAAAATTAAGAGAATTGCATTCATCGCATCCCTTTTTCAAATTATTGCCCAACGATCAACAAATATCCATATTAATAACGGTTTTTTCTTCATTCGATATAACACTAAAAATTGACCTGTATTGCTTAACAATTAACATATCTTTCACCGGCATGCTTGACACGTATAACCTGAGGAATAGGCACAATAAGAGGAGATCGTTGGATCAAAAGCTCGCTTCAAAGTTAGCCATCAGTTCCATCTGGCTAGTCAGATCCACATCCTTGGCTAGCTCACGCATACGTCTCTCCTGAATCCACCACATTAACGTGAACATGCTAGCAGTGTGGGGAAAACTAATACTACCTGCTCTCTACGACGGAGCATCGCTCCTTCCTGTGTAAGCACATGCGAATGAGGCGAAGTTCCACTGTCATTTGACTCTTGGTGGTGTGACTCCCCCGATTCATTAGAGTGTTCATGATGTTCGTCTCGGAATTCCCCATGTCCAGGAGCTCCTTCACGGTGTCCTTGAATTCCTCGCTGGCTATCCTGTTCACCAGTGCTCACGCCGCGAATTGCTTCATTTTGAATATCCTTATAGCTATCTCTCTGCACTCCATCGTTTGGATTATCGCGGACAAACTCTTTAGGAGGACCACTGTGAGATGGTGGGCGACTGGGACCATGGTCACCACGAGTTAAATCAGCGCTCTTCTCTGGAATCGTTCCACCAACCGCGCGCTGCCCCTCTCGTTCACGACGACGTTGTTCTTCATCCATACGCAACTGCTTCCTCTGAAAAACAACATGAAAGAAAACGCCGTATAAGGTATCAATTAGACTGGCGTTCCAACGCGTCTCAATAAGCAAGGTAAATATTCATCAGTTGAAAACATCAACAAACGATTCAAAAAAAAAACGGACTTTCTCTTCCTTCAGCTTTGCCTGGAGTTTAAATTGTTCTAGTTGCTCAGCGGCTTTGATTGACATGGATGAAATGGTATTCGACTGCAGCGCATCAAGAGAAGGCAAACCTGAAAGAAGACGCGAATTATAGGGAATCTTACGAAAATTGAAGCAGCTTCTACAAAGACTAACCTTGCTTGGATTTGCCTGGTTTTGTTTGTGATCGCTGATCAATAATTGGATGACCTACAAGAACGACATGTAAATGAGAGCGAACAATTACAACTCCATATGATACCTGCAGAACCTGGAGGCGTATCAAGTGGGTTGCTTTCAGTGTGAAGGAGCTTATTCACAACAGGGACACCTTGAATTTGTTATTATCAAACAAAAGAGAAAATTCACAGCGTTCCACGCACCTGTTGACAATGGAGTTTCGGACCTTGGATCAGCAGGAAGTAATTGATCTAGAATGGAAACACCTGAAAAAGTGCTGATCCATCTACTTGTAAAGGTTGAAGAGATACCAGTGTTGATTATTAATCAGTCCTTACTAAAAAGGCGTGTATCTTATGCATGATGTTCATTTACCTGTTGAAGTTATCGGCGTTCTCGACCTTTCCTCACCCACGGGAAGAAGCTGGTCCAGGATAGTAGCACCTTGAGAAATCGGTACTAACAAAACATCAGGGGAAATTTTAACAAATACAAGAATAAAATCTCACCGACTGAACCCGATCCTGTCGTGTTGAGGGCTTTACCAGACGCTGATGCAGAACTCTCAGCTATAACAAAGCAAATTAAATGAAGATGAAACAACAGGTTTAACGGTTCCTTACCTATTTCCTTTTTAGCAGGGGTGCTACGCAGTGTACGTTTCGGTCCCCTCGTTACCATCCTTTTCGATGAAGCCGATTTTTCTAAGTCTTCTTTGCGCTGATCAGTAAGTTCTCCATCAGCGGCTGTTCCTAACTTCATGAGAGGCTTCGCTTCTTTGACATTTCTGTTTCTTTCCGCTTCAGTGTCTACGTTCTTTAGCAGACTGTCCTGGTCTATTAGAGCCGTGTGGCGGCTGCGAACTGGCGACAAAGGAGCATTTTGACCTCGTAAACTAGTACGCGCTTCTGAAGGTTGACCGGGTGCAACGCAGGTATTGGGGGAACTTGACTGTGACTGCTCGGACTTGTCAGCATGAAGAGGAACAGATGACGAACGAGATGAATAGGAGCTCGCTGCAGTGGCCGCAGTTCCTGTGTGAGGAATCACCACTGAGGGAGCAACTCCTACTGCTGCAGCCGGTCCAATAGAAGAAACGGTTCCATTTTCTAGCGCTGAAGCAGAAGCGAATGCATCAGTGTTCACAGAAGCAGACTTGATCGGTGACGCGTTTTTGGGAACTGTCGGAACGGTGCGAGCACGCGACACTGTGGGCTCTTTACTAGCAACATCACCACTTGCGGTTGCACTGGCTGCAGTGGGGGGAGCGTCAGAGAATGAAATGACACGAGGACGGCGATGACGTTGTGGTCGAGACGTCAGACGAGATTCAGGAGGACGAGGACTCTTCGGCAGGGAAACATCCTCAGTAATAGTGGAAGCAGATTCAGCATTTGGTGTATCAATCAACTGCACCTTCGCTTTTCCGGCCCTGTTGGAGAAAACAAGTCGCATACGCTTCGGATCCTCCAGTTCGGGAGCTTCTGAAAAGATCTACCTCAGATAGAGTCAAGAAAAAAAAAGTTAATGACTCTCTCCCACATACACTCCTTGAAGCTAAACCGGTCATGCTACCATAATGTTCACCACCCGGGCTGAAGTGTGAGTCTCCATATCCCATTGCTCACCTACACGCAAAATGCATTTCAATGTAAAAAAAAAATTGGTGTTTATAAACGTAGCCTCAGCATCATAAAGAGCGCGGGGCAGATAGAGCACCACTAACTGTCTACTGCAAGACTCCTGAACACTCAAAAAACAAAGCCTATTTGTCAATGACGCCATACAATTTGAACAGACCTAACTTGCATTTGTGTAACAGTGAAACTTCTTACTAACATACGAAAACGGTTATCATGCACCCGCCCTTCGCAGAACTAATCCAGTCAACCTAGTTTTTTGAACATTCCACTAAGAATTTCCTCAAAAGAACGGCTACCTCTAACCTGCAACGAATTCGCAAATAATTTGACATTTGGTTCACAAGTGCAAAACTTATTACACAAATCACTCTGCGGCCACAATCATATGCACAAGCGTCTGAAATTAGCTTCATTCTCCTTGAAGTCTCAGTAATACTCAACTCCAGATAAAAACTCATTAACAATGACGCCGATCATAGTAATCCCTTCAAGTATTTATTTTTATTTATATTCTATTTTGCTAAACACAATCTTTTCCTGACCTATCGTGTAATCTTCCTTTTTAAATCACGGTTAAAAAAACAAAGAAAAAAACTGGTAAAAAAAAAGGGGGCAACTCGATCTCTCTGTATTGTGTGGCGATGGATGTGATATTGAGATGGATGTGAAAGGTTTATTATCACTTTTTAAATGTTGTGTCTACTAAAATCTAGAGCCGTTATTAATAAACTGAGCAGATGAAATAACTTAAGCGAAATATGTTAGCCATATAAAAGATCATGGCGTAGTAACACATGACAAAAACATTACAACATGATTAAGCATGAGATTCAGATTAATCCTTTTTGTTTGTATGTCAACAAATTCAGAACTAGTGAGAAAAATGAGAAGGTAACTTTTGTGAAATAAAACGTACCACAAATTAATAAGTTAACAATCACAAGTCATTTCAATAATTATGTACCAAAACGAAAGGTAACGATAATTAGTAACGGACAACTAGTACTTGAATAGAAAGCGGCAACCCGACATGCCGTATGTAACTTGATGCACCAACTTATACGATGCTTTGGGAAGAGGAGTAGCCTCCATATTTACAGAGACAAAATCGAGTCACCAACTACACGTGTGTGCTCAACTTCGCATGTGCGCTTTAGTAAATATGCCAACGTGTTTGTATAACAAGAAGAAAAAATAAAACTACGACGCTGATAGGCTAGGACGGGGGTGGCGGGACGGGGGAACTCGACTCGGCCCTTACCCCGCCACCCAAACAGAGAGATCGAGTGCCCATGCGCCGCCCATACACCACCCGCCTAACCTGATTCTGAATCGGACGAGTCACTGCTTGATGATGACGACGATCCAGAACTACCAGATGAGGATTCAGATGATGAACGGGCACGACTAACCACATGTCGGGAAGCATCTGCGGTGGATGCTGCTAGAACAACTTTCATGTTACGACAAGCAGAATGAAATCTTGCAGCGCTGAGTAAGCTGTCCTCAACTTCACCACAACTACTAACAGGGATTGTTCGTAGAAAATCGAAACCCACCATTCTTGTTTGATTGCTGAGCCGATACAGTTCCACCAAGCTTCTTAATCTTATCTTCGATTTCACGTTTGCGCGTCTCATTATCACTTTTAACTGCTATAATGTTGCAGTAAGACAACGAGAAGACGAGCATGCACGAGCACATGATGAACCCTATGTTTACACGAAATACTCACTTTTTCTTGGTTTCCGTTTCAAAGCGGCAGCTACAAATGCCTCGAGGTCACGAAGGGTAACAGCTTTCAGAGTTTCAAAATCAATCTCGATTTCCTCTGGACTGATATCCTGAAAAACGACCAATAACAGATATATTGCACGGTATACTCTTAAAATCGTACCGAAAGGTCCTCTCTGCTTTCAATAATACTGACGACCATGCTGAGTTTATCACCAGGGAGCTTGTTGATATCAAGACTGAGTTGTCGCTTCTCATCATAAGACATTGGCTCATGAGATGCTTCATCACTTGAATCGAACTCGTAATCATCCTTCCATGGTTTCCCATTAGCTGAGCTTTCCGCTTTAGGCTTATTTTTTGAACCGGGTCTGCGACCCCGCCCACAATACAATTTGGCTGGTTCAGCAATTGCATGAGATTGCGGACGCTTCAGCGATTCCTTGCGAGGCTGAAACAGTACCACCTAATTAATACAGCCAAAACAAATAATATGTACCAAACACACCAGTGGTGAGATTGAGGTGGCAGGTCCATTGGACAAAGGTGAATCTTCTTTGACATGGATTGGAGGACCACGACGTGTTCTGTTGGTTGGCGTTGAAGGTTGTACAGTCACACCACACTGCGCTAACGTCTGCTGCACTGAACTCATCAAAGTAGGAGGAACAGCAGGGACTGTTCCATCCCCTTGTTTGGCCTCCTTCCTCTTCATTTGGAGCTCGGTGAGTTCATTGGCATATTGTCCTATTTGGTCCATACGTTCTTGCAGCTTCTTCCTTTGCGCAGTCAACTAAAAGGTGTGAAATTATTTGAAAAATACGGCATCAATGAATATTAATGAATCACATGATTGAGAAATAGATCAAGCTGATCATCCTCATCCATATCACATGAAGTAGCCACAACGTTCGTATCGGCTACGTCTTCATCAACCGGCAATTGTGACCACTAAACCAAGGCCAAGTTAGATTAGGAATAACAGAACAAACAAGTGTATTCCAGTTAATGCAATACACAATTATCGAACTTACCCTTTCCTCGAAAGCTCGTAAAAGAGCTCTTCCGTGCTGGTGAATAACATCCGTGGCAGGATTGTAGGTGAAGCAATTCGAACAAACCTGAAAGGTAATATAATAATATTCTGTAATAATAACTGATAATTAATGAGGAGTAACCGACCAGCATTATATCATCGGCGAACTCCTGTGCGTTAGCGTACTGTTTATTATCCAATTTCTTTTTGATCGTGCCAAGATCCATCGGATTGGTAATAATGTCATAGTAGTCTGACAAATTCATGCCCTCAACGTCAACAGGAACCAAAAACGGCCAATTAAAAGCCTGAATGTGGAAAATGTAATAAAATTCAACTGAAGTGTTGCCCTCCATTGGACGTCACGAAAATAACACGTACTTTGCACTTCTTGCCCATTAACTCATGTAACACCTTGTGGCAAAACTTCATTGACTCTGAAGCTTTGCCTTTATACCTAGGAGGTAGCTGTGTATAATCGATGAAATGCGCTGGTTTCTTAACAGGACGAGCTGACTCACGACGAGGAACCTGAGAATTAGTGTCTTCTGTCTAAAAGTTGTTCTGTTGTGACATTTATTTACACTGTGGGAACGATCAAGAATATTACCTTGCCAGAATCTTCTTCAATAAGAACACCTGTTGTGGTGTCCGCTTTCCTCTTCACTCCTTTTTGCACCTTAAGAGGGTGGAGCGTTGAAGAACTTATCTAAAACAGATACCTGATATTTCAACCTACTTTTAAAACGAATCAGGAGTGCAAATTAAACTGTATGTGAACAAATACCGGGACATCCATGCTGGTCCCACTCGACGACTCTTCCACAACATTTGGAACGTCGGAATCGCCAAGCACGGAAGAGCTATCTGCAGCGCCACGCTGTATTGAAGATTCTCGCGACGCTGAAGTTATAATAATTTATTGGTATGTAATAAAAGATGAGGCTCATTGAGAAGTAACATCGGGTTGATATCTACTACTCTGAGTTACAACAAGCTAGATCCCCGTTTTGCAAAATAAGAAGGCAGATATTAGTGAGTCCACGCAGACCTCTAACCGTCGCATTATGAAAATGTTCTAAGACGTGCTGGGCATCCTCGCTCCCACCTCGAACGAAGGACGCCGACTTTCGTCCACCGGCAGGAGCTGGAGATGGGCCCTTGCGGAGATTCTTAGGACCACGTTTCGAAGATGGCCGTGCGATCTCAACCTCCTGAAAGATGAACATTATGCAATGTGTGGCAGCACTACAGGAAATCCAGCTATGCAACGGGAAGCAAACAGATAGGACAGTGGTTAGTATGAAGCATATCCGCGCACGGTAAATTATAAAATAAAAAAACCTCGTGAGGCAAACTCTGCATACAGTCCCTATACACGTTCTCGACATTTTGGCACATTATTGTCACGTCGTCTTCCACTTGATTGAAGGTGTAACAGTTGCGGAAGATATCTTCGAAATCCTGGAGAAAATCCTAGTAGAATACTTACATCAGAAGGCATATCAGCAATCTTGGCCAAGAAGAGTTGTTCGAGTTCGCGACCCATCGAAACGATCTCACTGTGAGGAGGGTTGAAAGTGTAGCAGTTGTTGAACATTGTCATTATGTCCTACAATATATCGGAGAACCTCTACGCTGTCAACCCATTGTACCGTGCAACAGAAACGGAATCCATGTACGGGATTGGTAAATATCCGAAACTAATTGATCGAACCAAGACTTGAACCTTTTTTAGTTACGATGTTAAAGCTCATAGATTCCTATTCTGGTGGTACAAGCGTTGAAGACTCTCCGATATAGGCGTGATGTGTTTTGACCCATCTTGAAAATTCACCGAGTGAGCTAATTCCCCGCAAAACTCTTATGCAGCTACCCCAATTAAAGCATAAGTACTGTGTAAGTTTTGAAACGCTCCCTCAAATTAACCGTTGTAATCGAATAACTCTCATAAGAGATAAAACGACGAAAAACGGTGACAGTTTCTCACTATCTGCCACAAGCAATTACTGGTGGTTTAGCTTATAAGGGTCAAAATATTTTGCGGCTAACAATGAGAAACTTTATAGAAAGATCTGTTGCTTTATAAAAAATTCCAGAATTATAGGAATTTATGAACGAGAACATCGTAGAGCAAAAATAACACCAGCCGACGGCTTGGTTCAAAAATATTGTTCCGGAAATTTCAACACCGACAAAATTGGCAAAGAGATTCGAAAAAAAATTAGAGAAGAAAGTTTCAACCTCCATGCATTCTTTTGCTGAATAGTAGTAGATATTCTGCAGACGCTTCTGAATTGTCTTCATATCCATAGGACGACGAATCACTTTATGATAGTCCTTAATTTGAGATAAAAATAGGCGTCAAAGCCAAGCAAAAAGTACAAAAATGGAAACAAAACTAACCGGAAGGTTCAATTTGACCGTATCCACAGGCACATTGAACGGCCAGGCATGCTTATGCTTCATAACTTCTTTGAGCACTGTATTCAATATGTAATCCAACTGATTTGTGTGCCGCGTGGGCTTGCCCATGGGAGGTATGACTCGCGGTTGAACAATGCCATTAACAGGCTCCTAATAACATCTCATTATAGAGGTTAAAAAAATCAAGAAACGCAACACCACGTGTGAAATGTTCTAGTACCTGTCGTGGAGAGGCCCACGGGTTTTCCGGCTTTTTGACATTGTCGTCAGCCGCACTGGCTGTTGCTCCTTCCCCGGATGTACTTACAGCGTCAGCGATTTTCTGTGTATCATTACCGGACATTCCCTTACGAGGCCTGAAATGGTGACAAAGCAAAAATGATACGGGAGGACGCAAGTAACGGATCGGACACAGAAAGATCCTGGATCGGCTTACAAGAAATTGCAGTCCGTTCAGAATGGCGAATATCACAATCAACAGCAACAAAAATAAGTGAGTTGTTTGTGAATGCTTAAAATCTATGTTGGAGATCAAGAAATGTTACAGAAACAAGTCAAAACCAATCAAAATATGTGAATGGCGGGCTCGTGGCCGCAACGCAGGCACTGACGCAACGCGGTGGCATCGTGCCTCGTAACACTACCACGACCAACGGGTGACAAGCTTCATCGTTAGAACCAGAGGACAGATAGGATATCAGTGTATTTGCAAATCACAAAAAAGTTTGTAAGAGTTGAAGAGCCCCATATTTCCCCAGAAGTTCTAACAAGAGCACAAGCTCGCCTACCTTTCCACATGCCTCCCGTCAAACACGCAAACGCCGTCACAACGCACAACAACCAATGTTCCAACACGACACCTGTGGATCTTCTTTAAACAACTATGGTAATCGTAGCAGCATTACATGTTTAAGCTATATTGTAGAAACATATACGCACACAGAGTTGAAGCGCCTAGAGAGAGAGAAAGAGTCATGGCCTAGAACATTCCCTCGATCGATTCATTCATTGTAGACAGTGGCAAAATACGCGATGGAGAGCGTTGCCGACGGAGGGCGCAGCGACGAAAGTCCTCTACGTCTCTCGCTGAACGCCGGGCGTGCGACGGAGCCGCCGAAGCCCCGACACGCATGGCCCTCTTGCCCTTAATCGCATAAGGTTGTAAGGCTAGTTCTGGAAAGGAGCCCTAAACCAATGTCTCCAGTATGCACGGAAGCTGTTGCGAAAATTGTCAGTCACCACCGACCCTCGAAGCACCAATAGTTGACTAAGTCATGCCAGCATTTTGACAGACTCTAACACGCTTCGAAAAGACTTGGGTTATTGCTTCTGATCTTCCATGATCTTAAACATCATCCCACAAACTAGGCAACTATTGAGCCAGTTGGGAGAAGGTTAGCGCATATTGTGTACGCAGCCAGTGGTCCTGGGACGATGACGCTACAGTAGGAGATTGCTCACGTCCTTTAAGTGGTGTGACTCAGCACACAATTAAATCGGAAGGTTGTGCTTCCGTATCGATCGTCTGTTGGACTCTAAGCGAAATATTGGCTGTTGATATGAAATTCATGTAATTGCGAAATGAATTTCAACAAGCGCAATATGCCCACTTCCAACGCTTATATTCAGGGCAAGAGTTAGTGTAAGTACGTCATCGAACTTATTGGATTTTCTAGTACAAAGCCCATTAACACTAACTATGACGGGTATTTGAATTGGACGGACTTAGGCTGGTGAAGAGTGGCGTGTAAGTTATCTGGATTTATACCTTGACCAAGTTCTCACGAAAACGAAGCTGTACAGCTGTCGGCAATCACATGGACGGGTCGGATGGGTGATCAGTGTTCGTGTTTCGGGCAGGGGGTTGGTCTTATTTGGAGAAATGGGATCGCCTTGAGGACGTGAGGAGGGGGAGTTCTTGAGAAGGAATTCGAAGAAGTTCTGAGAATTCAGGAGAATTTTAATTTTTTCTCACAATTTAGGCAGTTTTTATCATACGAGCAGATTTCGAAGCATGCCAGGTTGAATCGAGTGCAACGCACCACCAACACCATTGTCCACTGAAGGTCGGGGGAGGGGGGGGGGGGGGGGTTATACATGTAGAACGGCCACACGTCATGGCTGACTCTAACTGCGACAACAGTGATGCTACCATTTCGAACTTTCCTTCTCCCCTCAAAAACCTGAGAAAAGCTCGGAGCTTTTGTTCTTGTAAACCACTTGAACAAGCGCTTTTGTGCATTTAGCGTTTCTGATATATTGTCAAAAATTGAACCACTAAGTAATGAGAGCATTACACTCACCAAACATTTCATTTTTCTCCCTAGTGTTATTCCGCGCAGGGTCCGCTGTAAACTTACCAAAAATTACACCCGCTAAATGAGATGGTAATATCACCACGCCTTTTCCCAGCTAATTGTTCTTTTGTTCCTGCAGACAGCTGGCACACTTTCTGTTTGTTCCACATACAAAAATATTCAAGCATAATGTTGGGAAGCACAACTGGTTCCAGAGGAGGGGGAGGACATTTCATGCAATAGTTCATGTCGTCAACATGAAGCCCATGACAGAGTGGAAGCTCCGGCATGGGTGAACCTTCCCTTTGCAAAAAGGAAACAGGTGAGCAGAATTTTTCAAGGAAATGTTTCACGCAATTTTAGATGCCTTGGATGCTCAGCATAAATTTTCGTCTTCCCTCCTCTCCACCCCTCCACCCCCCCCCCCTCACCTCTTGTTGAGTTACGACACGGTCCAGTGTTCCCTCCGAAGTTCATGATAGCAGTTTCGTTGAGCTTAGGAATGATCCTCGATTATTGAAAAAATTACAGAAGTGAATAATAAAAGCTAATGGTTGTCGATCACAAATGATTTTCTGCCTTTTGTATACAGTGCAAGCCTAAACAAAGGCGACATGTATGAATACAGTGACGTATACGGCACAATAAAACTTTAGCGATATTCACCGTCCTTTACTAAAGAGGCTGGCACAGAGCGTGAGCAAATGCACCGCGCCATAGGCGGAATCTTTGGCGAGTTTACCGTTCTCGTTACTGGCTTATACATGAGTTTCTTGATATGACGCTGGAAACGCTAGAGGATCGAACGCCTCCCGTTGAGCAGCTCGCAAATCAAAAGTTTCGAGCTACTTTTTGCCTCCGCAGCGCACAAAACGTACTATGCATGAGTAACCAATAAAGGCCCCATGTGAAAAAGCCACAATTTGACAACTTGATTTTCCTCAGTGGTCCTGCCGCGATGGCTAGAGCACAGACGACTAGAGAATGCCCTAGGACTAAGCCTGGAGAGGGACCCGTTAGGCTGGTGTCAGAGTCCGCGATTTTTTGCGCGATTTTCGCGATTTGCGCGATTTTCGCGATTTTTTCGCGATTTGCGCGACGGTCACGGAAATCTCAAGTGCCTCATTCAATACTGCAAGGTGTTCTCTTCCACTTGCTTCATATTCAGTGTTTCAATTGTTCAAAGCCACTTGCATTTTTGTGAGCCTGCGACAGATCACAGGAACTGAGAGTAACCCGATCAAGGCGCAATGTGCCTCGGAGGGGGCCAGTCGCCGCGCGCGGCTCAGCGGCAACAGTGTAACTCGAACATTCCAGCTTCTCACGGAACATTCCAGCTTCTCACGCATGCTAAGTGACTGCCCTCCCCCACCCCCCCCCCCCCTGAATTGGCTACATTCCCCCTGGCTCACGAATTTCCTGTTGCCGCAACGCCGCGCGCGGCGACTGGCCCCCTCCGAGGCACATTCGCCCCGACCAATCCCCCTCCTACTTTTTAAACACGGTATAGGGCGCCGCGGCGAGCACGGCCGAGCCAGTAGGCTGGTGTCAGAGTCCGCGATCGCTCTTCGCGATTTTCGCGATTTTCGCGATTTGCGCGATTTTCGCGATTTTCGCGAAACCTGCGATGGATCACAGGAGTTGGAAGTGCCCGATGAATACTGCGAGGTGTTGTTTAATCCTGCTGCGAATTCTGCTTGGCAGTAAAGATTGGAAGACGAATGTTTGTGGTTCTACTTGTTTCATGTTCAATGTCTATTAGTTCATTGAAATGCTCTTGAATCGTTCCTATTTTTTTTCAGGAATCAAACCAAACCAATCACAAAAATTGCAAGTGCCCCATTTGAACAATTGAAACACTGGATATGAAACAAGTGGAATCATGAGCAGTCACCATCAAGCAGAAGTGACGGCGGGATTGGAGAACACCTTGCAGTATTGATCGGGCACTTGTGATTTCCGTGACCCGTCGCGCAAATCGCGAAAATCGCGAAAATCGCGAAAATCGCGAAAATCGCGAAAATCGCGAAAATCGCGAAAATCGCGAAAATCGCGCAAATCGCGAAAATCGCGCAAATCGCGAAAATCGCGAAAATCGCGAAAATCGCGAAAATCGCGAAAAATCGCGGACTCTGACACCAGCCTAAGGCTGATGTCAGAGTCCGCGATCCTTTACGATCCTTTTCCTTAGTGAGCGCAGAGGCGGTAAAGGGCTGAGTTCAAGTAGTCCGTCAACCATGTTTCATTGAGTGACAATGTGAAAATGATTGTTGTTAATACTGTTGGGATAACAAAAAAAAGCAACAAAGAGCAGAAAAGAAAGCAACGCACCACAAAAAGTTGAGAGTTGAAGTTGATGAATTTTTTAGAGTTAGCCGGCTTCCTTAGTCGAGCCATATATTCGACGTTGATTAAAAATCGCGGAAGAACTCACATTTGGTCTGTAAATAACTCTTCCCTTACTGCGCTAATTACCCACGTATTTCCCAGCAGTCGCTGAGAAGTCAAGAGATTGTAACAGTATAAATAGCAATAAGCGAATAAATATGAAGAGTTGTTGAACAATGGAAAGGAATGAAATTGTCTTTTATCTATTCATAATAAAAATCTAGGACTAGATCAAAATTGCAGAATGTAGCCGCACCTGTTGAAATCATCTTTAGCCGTCCTCTGACGTGGTTGACCAGCCGATAAGGTCAACTGCCCGTTCAGCCGAGTCGGACGAGTTGGGCGTGTTTTAGCAGTTGGGGAGAGGGGTCGTATTTGACGAAATGGGTACGTATTCGCGAAAGATATGCGAACGCGATAATTTTGACAAACGCGAAAATATTTTGAGAAAGCTGAAAATTCCTATCTGAAATTGGCCACTTCCATGTTGATCCTGCAGCTGACTGCGAACAGCGCTTAAATAAGAGGCATCTGCATTTACGAAGTTGGAAAAAGTCCTGCAAAATTCTCCTATACATTTTCTTCCCTTTTTCTTCTAAAGAACTCGTGTATAGAAGCTATGAGCAACGTAGCCAAGATATAATCGCTCTTCATCCACCCGGTAAGTAAAATCAGTAAATATCAAAGAAAAAAAAACATGAGCCACTATTCAATCCGCTCTCCATTTCAACGTCTACTGCGAATATCTCCTCGGTCACCTTCACGGCAGCAACCAACAAAGTCTGCATTA